TCAGCTCACAGAAGTAGGCTCTAAAGTTCTCATCTGGAGGTCTGTAAAACTGGGGGCTCTTCCAGTACCCTGTTTATATCTTTACACTCTATTTTAATGACTTTTCCCAAAAATGTAGTAAAAATCAAAATTTACTATTTTAACCTTTACTATATGTATATTTCAATAGTGTAAAGTATACTAGTATACTTAAAGTATACATACTCACATTATTGTACCTTTTAACTTGCCTATTCTCCCCTACAAGATTATAAATTAATGAGAACAAAAATCTGTTTTGTTTGTTGCTATATTTTTAGTGCCTAGTACACACAGACTGTTACATAAAATACTCCTAACAAATACTTGCCAAATGCATGAATGCTCTGCCTGTTTGCCTATCTATCTGTCTACTCACAGAAGGAATGAGATATTTACATAGAGATGTATATAAATATGTTAATGTGAAGTCAACTTTTCTTATTTGGCTGCCTGGTTTCCCAATTAGGATATGAAGAGATTAGAGCATCCAACCCCCCAAATATGCCATTTTTGCATAAGGATTTTTTTCTTTTTGAGACAGAATCTCACTTTGTTGCCCAGGCTAGAGCGCCTTGGTGTTAGTCCAACTCACAACAACCTCAAATGCCTGGGTTCAAGCAATCTTCCTGCCTCAGCTTACAGAGTACCTGGGACTACAGGTGCCCACCAGAAACACCCAGCTCATTTTTCTATTTTTATTTTTTTTTTGCAGTTTTTGGCTGGGTTTGGGTTTGAACCCACTACCCCTGGTATATGGGGCTGGCGTCCTACTCCTTGAGCCATAGGTGCCACTCCCTTTTCTATTTTTAGTAGTGATGGGGTCTCACTCTTGCTCAGGTTGGTCTTGAACGCCTGAGCTCAAGGGATCTTCCTGCCTTGGCCTCCCAGAGTACTAGGATTATGGCATGAGCCACTATGACCAGCCTTTAAGGATTATTTTGAGCTGAAGGCAAATGAGAACTAGCACATGCAAGAAAATTTCACTTTCAATTTTCTTTTTTTTGCTTAGAACAGCGTGTAATCCTCAGAAGCCCTGGATAATTGCTAGCAATATTTATTTATTTTTTTTTATTGAATGGTAACTATGTACATTAATGCACTTCTGGGGTACAGTGTAGGGTTTTCACATGCAATCTGAAATACTTCCATCAAACTGGTCAATTTTCTTTCTAAAAACAGGTCATAAATTTCCATTGCAAAGGTAACATAAATTTCCATTTGTAAAGGTCTCTCTCTCCCCCCATACCAGGAAGAAAAGGACAACTCAATCCCCAGTGATGACTCTTTTCATTGGAGAAGACACACACTTAAGTCAGGATAACAGACATTGCTAAGTAACCCTTTTACTTCATTAGATTCCCCATATATTTACCTTTTCACAATTTACTACCTCAGAAACCCAATCCCTCACCTTGTCTGCTTTTTTTTACAATTTATTCTCTTTGAAAAATGGCATATATAAGCCCTGGGATATAACCACTTCTTTGGTTCTTCACTCCTTTACTATGAAAGCCTTTGTATAGATAATAAACCTTTTCTCCTACTATCTATCTTTTGTCAGTTTAATTTGCAGGGTACCACTCACTTAATCTAAGAAAGTAGAGGAAAAGTTTTTTTCCCCCTCCACAAGTATATCACAGATAAACTGGATGACATAATCTGCAGGAATGAGATTTTTTTCTAAAAGGACATTTAAGGAATGTAATAAATTAAACACATTTCATCATAAAATACTACATTGGCAAATGTGTATTGAAATTAATATTTTAATTTTCCTAACCATTATTTATGTTAGGCTAAACAAGGAGCCTTTACTGTGTAAAAACTGAGCTAGTTTATGATTCTAATGATTGGTTAACAAATTCTTTTTCATTCAGTTTATGCTTTTTTTTTTTTTTTGCTTTATTCAGTTTATTTTCAAGTTTTTGATTTCAACAAAGAAAACTTGATCACTTATAATAATAATAATTATTATTATTATTTTCAGTTTTTGGCCAGGGCTGGGTTTGAACCTGCCATCTCTGGCATATGGGGCCAGTGCCCTACTCCTTTGAGCCATAGGTGCCGCCCAATCACTAATAATTATTAATGAGAGACTACTATGCAATTTTGGGGGCAGTAACCCACAACTCAAGTGTGATATTGCAACAACAAAACTTTCACTCTTATCTACATACCTCTAAGACTTCTCAGAGATTATATATAAAAACTGAAAAAGGAAATAGTAATAAACTTTTCTAATAAGAAATGCTTATGTGCAATAATTATTTATTAAAATTTGTAATACATTTGTAATATTGCTTTGATAAATTGTATGTAATAATCAGGGTAATGATAATTACAACCCAGGAGAGAAAACAAATTACTCTCTTAGCATCGTATAATGACAAGAAATAAAAATTTCATTTTAATTTACATATAGAGTAGAACCTCCATAGCTGACCATCTCCCTGCACTGACCAATTTTCATAGAGCAGACATGTACCACATGTACGTATCAGTACTGCAGGCCTAATTCCTCATGTTGACTCCCTCAATATGTGACCAGTTTAGTACAGCCCCTTAGGTGGTCAATTTACAGAGTTCTACTGTATATGTAGCAGACAAAAGTCATTAAAGCATAAAAATATATTACATTAAAATAAATAAAGATATATTACATTAAAATATAGTTCAACAAGAAAGAGTTGTAAATTTTCTGACAATTGTACAATTACTTCATTTTTAAAAAAATAAATAGTGGTAACTTTCAGACTGCTTCTTATTTAAGATTACCTGGCTGTACTTAGTAGTAACATTTAGCAGTTTTATTTTAAAATGTGAATATTTAATATACACTGAAATGATACATGTGTCTTTTGTAATTATTTAGACTTAAAATAAAAACATGTCAGCTGTAAACCTAAATATGTTCCAAAGGTAAGACAGCTTTATAAAATTCTCTGAAGGAGTAAGTACATGAGCAAAAAAGTCTTAAAACTAAACTATTACTTTTCTAACTTGGACTTTTTAGATTCAGAGTATTTATAGATTTGTGGAATTCAGATTTTCAGCTTCTTATTTAATGGTATCAGTATATAGTTGACCCTTGGACAACAGCAGGTTTGAACTTTGCAGTCCACTGACGCACCCCTGACACAGCAAGACAAACCTCCCCTTTTCCACCTCCTCCTCAGCCTACTCAACATGAAGATGATACGGATGAATACTTTCATAATGACCTAATTCCACTTAATAAATAATAAATACATTTTTTCCTCCTTATGATTTTCTTTCTTTTTTTTTTTTTTGCAGTTTTTGGCCAGGGCTGGGTTTGAACCCACCACCTCCAGCATATGGGGCAGGTGCCCTACTCCTTTGAGCCACAG